TGCTTCGTTGATCTGATTGGTTTATTTGGCCCGTCTATCACCAACATAGGCCAATCAGCTAACCAGTATTTTCGCCCCTTCCCAAAATTACTTCTACGGAAGGTGTCCAGATGGATATGCGGAGCAAATCCATCTGGCGGAGTCAGGTTAGGAAAAGACCGCAAGATGCGCACCGGCTTTACCATCCATGTTTACTTCCGTAAAAAAAGAGCATGCAGGCCTGTGATGGCATTGCGTCCTCTACAGCACATGCGGGAGACTTGCGTTGTATGACTGCAGGTAACACAGGAGATCATATAAAAGTCGCATATATTTGGGAATATGAATGGCAATGTAAAAAAATCGGATTTCGCCAAAAAAAAAAATCGGAATTGATCATCAAGGCCTGCAGTGTGAACGTAGCCAATGTAAGAAAACTGCTTTATGCAGAGCTCCACTGCTCTGTTTTAATCCCCCCAGCTGTCTCTCTGACAGTAGGAAATAAAAATAAGTCACCCAAATACTAAGATAATTCCAAAATAAGTCCAAATACTATTATATATATTTTTGTTGTTTTTTTAGAAGGAATCGGTGCTCGTGTTTCATTGTCTTTTATGACAAAACCATCTTACAAGTAAGCCTTGTATGATATAATGGCAACTTAATAAACACACACAATTCAAAGAAAAACAAACCAATGGATTTGGAAGTATAACTTTAAAAAAATGAATACTGCTGCTGGGAAGACAGCTGAGAGAGTCGGTAGAAAGGATTGTGGAGATCTCTATGTTTTTTTTTTTTTTGCAAAACTTGTTGATGCTTAATCATAGTTTACCTTGACAAGTTCCTTCTGGGGCCAAATCTGGATTGGCTCAACTTGCTGAGGTGTTTGGGTCTGAATTCCATATGTGTTCAAAAACACCTGAAGCCTAAAGAGACAAAGTAAAAAAAAAAGGTTTTGAGAAAAAAAATAAATAAATAGAAATAGGGTTAATATATATAAAAGAGCAGGACACCAATATGATTATGTTAATACAATGGCCCAGCTCAAGTTGCAAACCTTATGCAATGAGACAATATATGTGATGGGGCAATGGCAAAAGCAGGACCAAGTCTTTTTGGTATAATTTTTAGTTATTAACAGATCCCAGAAGACTTAACTCTAAGCTTTTCAACAATTTCAATAGTGTGACAATCAAAAAGAAATTGAAGAACATATGCTCATTTAAATTTCGATACTCTGCAAAGAACATCAAGTAGGAAATTGGCTTTAAAGATTCTCTAATATCAACCTGGTTGTCAACTGGAAGCTAGAGCTGTTCATTTCAACCCTTTGCATACCTTATGCCATTACCTCCCCCAGCAGTGCTCGTCAACAAAGGCTTCATGTCAACAAACTGCAATTTTTTTTTTATCTATTTACAGCACTGCATTACAAACCTTGTGTTACATCAGTGCTTTCCTTAAAAGGCCTCCAGACAGACCCAAACTGGAGCCATCTCTCCCCATTTTCACATTCATTTCAACCAAGCAGAGTGCACAAAAACACTTCTGATAAGCTATTTTTGCATCGTCATAACCAGTTTGTTTGAATGACATACACAGATGAAATTTGGCAAAATCCAAGTAAAAGGATAGCTGTCGGTCACATTGAAACCATTTTTGACAAAAATTTACAGTGTTTGTAGGGCAGGTATTTGTTTGGACAGGGTTTTCTCCATCTCTTAACATGGATCCCATTGGGAGATGACATGAGCATCGTTGCTAACTAGTTGGCAAATTAGTGCTAGTAGGTTCCCAATGGGAAATTACATTGGGACCAAGTAGCACTAAATTGGGGACTTAAAGCCGATTTATGCTTGTGATGCCCCCCACACAGAGGTCCTGCAACCATCGTTGTGCACCTCAAAAAAATCCTGACTACGAGTCGGACGGTCGCAAACCCGCGCAGACCTCAAGCGGAAGTGCGCAGACAAACAAGCAGCTGTGATTACTCCTTCATATGCCTTTCTTGCTGTCTGTTTGGTGGTCCTTCTCGATTCGGTGCTGAGACGCACCATTTTTAAAGACCAAGAAACAATGGACAACTACGGCGAAAAGGTTAATCGGTCTTTTTTGCCAGCTCCATTAACAGAACCTGTTCCTCTTCGATGTCCGGCAACTCTAGATCCATCTCCGTGCCAGTGATATCTTGCAGACGCGCCATTGTTGTTTTGGAACACTGGAGCGGAACACTCCTCGCCGGCGCCGGCTAAGTTCTCGCGACCAACCACCGAAGTTCTAGCAAGTTCTCGAATAAGCTCCCCCTTGCACTTTGGGGGGAAACTGTTGTGCGTCCCTAGAAATTCTAGAGCGACAGTGCAGATCAATACCTGAACTGGTTGATGTGTGCGGTTGCAGAAGTATAACCCGCCCTTAAGAAACAACACTGTCAAGGAACGCTATGGTCAGCGGAAACATGCAGGAGGAGGAGAGTTTTGTGTCAGAGGTTGTGGATGAGTCTCCTCCATCATTCATTTTTTATTTAGAGCAGGAAAGCGGGGACAAAGATGTTGTTGAAGAGGACGCCAGGGTGTCAGAAGCTTCGTTTGGTGTAAAAGGCTTACAGCCGTACATGTTTGACCTCGCAATGCTGGCAGTTATGTTAGCTCTACGCCGTAGGAAGACACAGACGTCCATCCCCGGGAACAATCAATGGTAAAGTTATAAAGAGTAAATGATCCTTATTTCAACCGTTGCGTATATTAGCTGCGATATATGAATGAAGATTGTATGACTAAAAAATTTTGATTGACAGATGATCATTGATACATGATTGGCTGAATTTAGGTGTACAAGCTGACATATAACCAACTGGAGTGCATAAAACAAAGAAACCCACCCACAGACTTTAAGACTTTTTAAAAATAGAAATTTAAAACATTTTGGGACAATATCTACTGAAAAAGAATATCTTTATATACATGTTTAAGCCAGAATGATTTGACATTTAAATATGATTTCCCTACGACTTTCAGTCCCTGCAGACTTAACAAGCAATATTAATGTTTTAGTTATTTAACTGTTTTAGTGTTCCGGTACGATGTCATCAACTAGAGTGGCCATGGCCTTTGAGGTCAGTTTAAAGTCATACACAGACATTAATTGCAGCATATGGCTCAACTAGCCCTGTTTACACTACCCTGTGAAAACCGATCCGTTTCGAGTTTGGACGGATCTTGGATCAGTTAACCGTGCCAAGCTCAGTTCCTTACGACAGTTTACACCTCACGCTTGCACTGCTAATCGCCTCCTAGTGACGATCTACGGTACTACTGCTCTCTAGAGGGAAACAAGCAAATCTACATGACGGCGCCCGTAACATTCAAAAAGTTTGTTTGTAATTCTGATATTTTATTGTTTTTGGTGAGTCAGGCGAAGAAGGCAGCATTTGGTGAATTTACTTGACAAGAGTTGGCTTTTGGGAGGTGGATACGACAATCTAGTCTAATAGGGTCACCAGATTTGGGTTTCTGAAAAAGGGGACACCTTTTTTGACCTTTTTTGACACCTTTGATCTTACACTTTATAACTTATTTCCTCTGCTTTTCCTCACTCATCCAAAACACTTATTTAGATCAGTGTTTTCCAACCCTGGTCCTCAAGGAACACTGCCCTGCATGTTTCCTAGCTTTTACACACCTGTTATCAATTGATAGCAGATTATAAGGCTTTGCTGAACTGCAATCATCTGAATCAGGTGTGCTAAAGCTCAGAAACATCAAAAACATGCAGAGCAGGGTGCCTTGAGGACCAGGGTTGAAAAACAGAGATTTAGATGATCCACCCGGAAATAAAAGATTGCCTCTATACCTTTAAAGGGGTCATAGAATGCAAAACCGAGTTTCCATTGTCATTGATGAATAACAATGGTTCAGTGTTTGAAATGGACAGACAGAGAAGTTCAAACCCCATCGACACCTCCTTTCTCTGCAAATCTCACAATTCTAAAGTTGTTACCTAAAACGGGCAAATCCAAATGAAGCCCCGAGTTGACCTGAACTCAGGGATGTTGCCTTATTTGGTTCTGGCCTGTACTTGTGTCATGCCCCGGGCGGGCGGGCGGGTATGAAGTGTTGACTCCTGGGCCGCTGACTGGACCAGACCTCAGCAGAAAGCCATGAGCCGCCTGTCCTCAGCCGGAGGAGGGGGGCTGGAGCCCGTAACGGACATCCCAAGTCTCCCGGGAGTCTCCTAACCTGACTCCGCCAGATGGATTTGCTCCGCATATCCATCTGGAAACCTTCCGTTGAAGTAATTTTGGGAAGGGCGAAAATACTGGTTAGCTGATTGGCCTATGTTGGTGATAGACGGACCAAATAAACCAATCAGATCAACGAAGCATATGACGTACTAACAGAGCGACGACGAAAACACAACCACAAGCCAGGCTACTCTTGCCGAAACCAGTCGGGAGAAGAAATACTCTGTAATTCCGATAAAACTTGCTCGATAGCCACGCTAACGCTAGTTTCATCGGCTGAAGCCACCATGTTCTTTAGACTGAACTGTTGCGCTTCTCGTTGCGTCACACCTCAACCCGCCTCAAAGCCAACACTGATTGGACGTTCGTTTGGTGAACGGCTCCAAATTTTCTTTAACGGAGAGTCTCCAGACTGATCTGCGAGTGAAACCTTGAAAGCTCGCGAGATCAGGATGGCCTCACGAGGCTAGGAGTCTCCCTGATATAGATAGTTGTTCACAGATGCCCGCGAAGTGGAATGTGGTCTACCAGGACCATTTTGAATTTACCCCAGACATTTTTTTAGGTATTAAAAGTAGATCATGTCCAGGAAAAAGAGGATGTCTGGTCACCTTTCAGTGAGTGAGTGCTTGTTGCTGTGATGCGTCTTTCCTCAGCAGCTTCGCTTGTTGTAAACCAACCAATCAGAGCACAGCTAATCTAAATATTCATTATCATACGATAAAAGGAAGAAAAGCTGTCGTTTCATTCTGGGGCTTTTAACCAGGCTGCATTAGGGCTCATAGAACAGCAAATATGCCATTTTCAGCCCAACTAATGTTACACACCCTATTCAGAGACCTAAAGGACCAAATACCCTATAGAATCATTCTATGACCACTTTAATGAACAATAATTTTTCTGGGAGTAAATACAGTTAAGAATGTTTACGTGGCGATCTTTCGACATGAGTTATTTTTACTTATAACCGTTTAGGATCAGTGAATCCTAAAATCAAAGATTAGAAACAGAACAAAAAAAAAAGTCTAATTGGTTCAACCAAATTTCTAAACCCAATCCACATTCTAACAATGTGAAAAAGGGTATTTTCAGCTTGTAGCATATCTGTTACAAACAGAACCACAAGGTATCTAATTTACGTAAGTGTTCACAGCCTTTTTCTTATTATTGATCCAACTTCTGCGGCAATTCAAGCTTTTTTTTGCAGTGTATCTCAAGCTCCATTAGGCTGGATGGGAGATCTCCATGCACAGCCATTTTCAGATCTTGCCAAATGTTCATTTAAATTTAAGCTCGACCCTGATGAACAATGATGGTTGCAAACTGAGCCATTGTGCTGATTGGGCACTTCAAAGAATTATTTAAACTGGAAAAAATCTAAAGGATAATCAGTAAAAACTGTGATGACCTAAGCTGAATGTGGGGCTTCATGGTAGAAGCTGTAAGTATATTCCTTACTTTTCTATCTTTGATCAATTTGAAACAATCGTAAATATACATTTCCCTTTTTGACATAATTGAGTATTATGTGTTGAATTTTAAGTGAAAGAATAAATATATTTTTAGGATAAATGACTATGGAAAAAGTTCAGCAATGTAAATACTTTTTGTAAGAACTGTACCTCCATCTCACATAGGTGATAGACACTACATTTGATTTATCTTTACTACCCAATTAAGCTCTGATTAATTCTACAATGATCGAGATTTTTAAGTCAAACATGAAGCTCTGCTTCTTAAGATGCATTAAAAAAAAATGGATGAAATATAAATCTGTCAATCCCACGTCGTCTGTGCAGCAGCCACTGATTCAAACTGCGGTGAAAAGATGGTAATGATGATGATGTAGGTCCTTACAGGCGCATTTTCAGCAGCAGTAATTGAAGCTAAGGGTTTACAGGCTTCACACTCATTTGACCCCATTTGACACACACCCCAGCTGTCTCACGCGCATTTTCAAGAATTCATATACATTGACATGAGTTCACATAATTAGCAGAGTGACAGATGATGGTGTGACGATGGAGGTCAAACTCCACGATTAGCTGAAAAAGGAAAGAAGCCCAAACTCACCTCCCTTTATGGTGAAGCACACATTAAGATTTACACATAACGACACACATCTTACCTCTGGCTCTCCGCTACCAGGGCTACATGAATCACAGCGTCATTGTCTATGGGACCCTGTTGACGAGAGAGATTATCATCAACATTTGCACTAATGTCAAATCTGTTGTTAATTGCATGATAATGAGTGTTTTGTTCCCTACAAAGACTGTAAATACATTTTAAACATGGTTAAAAATGACAAATGTTTAAATATAAGAGTTTTTATTCAATTTCTTTTTCCTCTATCACATACTTTGTTCATGTAGTAGATCCTTTTCTTGCATTTTTACAAAAATAAATCTCTAAATTCCTGTCGTTTCAGTGTTGCATTTCATCTAACATCAGTGCCAAAACAAATCATAAAAAATGACTAATGTGAATGTAATTAAACCAGATGTGTGTTTGCATGAGTGGGAAAGAGAGATAACACAGAGGGAAGCAGGCGTCTAACTTAAAATTCAGCTCACTTACAGCTATACCAACAAAACGTTTTGTTATTGCTACCCACACTCGCACCATTCTGATGAAAGTGAAATGAGCAATAAAGGTTGACGGGGAGGTTCTGGGCAGACGGAAGCAGAAGGCAAATTAGCAAGGACAAAAGAGATGTAAAAGTCGGAGCAACGATGGAAAAAGATGTTTGGCTGTTAATAGATGATCTATCCGGCAGCTCCTCAGAGAAATGACTTTAAAGAATGAGAGGAACGTGAACGTCAGAAATGCGCAGAGGTTATTTGATCCCGCTTACAAGTGATACATGATTTTATTATTTTATCAATGATTTTATCATGTTCTTCTGTTTAAGGTGGAGTAGCAACTTCATTCAGTAAGCTGGATTATTCTTACGAATAGACTTTATTGACAGAGCTTTAGATTTTCGTTTTTCTTTCACCTTTTTACAGATGAAAAGACTGAACAGAGATTCAATTTTCATTATAGAAGCCTTAGATTTAGATCTACTAATTTCATAGTTTTATACAAGGAAAGTAGTACAATCCCCTAAGATTTTATTGTGATAAGAAAAGCAGCATGTTTGCTTCGCAGGAGAGAAAGATTTATTTCAGAAGGGGGATCAATGCGGCTCAAATGGCGGATTATCACACAGGAGTTCAAAAATATTCACAGTTTCTGTTCATTGCAACACTAACAGTTTAAGTTATTTAGATAACTCATCATCTGCTATTCATGGTTCGAGGGGCGGAGCGCCACCCAGATATCCGACGCAGACCAGAACCTTTGGTTGGGACCATTAAAGGGTTTGAAGACACACAGCTTTAATATTTTCATTAATTTAACAAGGGTTGGTACTTCGTCATCTATAATGTATGTTTTATTAAATTTGTCTAATTAGAAATAATTAAATAGAATTAACAAGCTGCCCTTTAGCCATTTAGCTACCTGCATCTGACTTTCATTACACCTGCTGTAGCTCAGAGCTCCGGCAGAATGTGAGTGAGACCTGAGAGTATTGGTTTTTGGAAGTTATAACGTGCTGGAGAGCGGGCAGCAATAATAGAGTCCACCTTAAAAGAGTCACAAGAAGACACATTTCTACAAGAAAAATATTCCTGGTTTAGGACTTTGGCTGGAATACGATGAAGGTAATCATCCGCGAATATACTGCTTATACTATACACAAGCTAGTCATCTTGATTGGGAGATGTTCTCAGTTGTGCAGCAACAAGGGTCGGCCACCAGCAAAGATCCTCTCTGATACAGGAAGCTCACTCGAACCAGAAAAACAGCAAAGTTTAATTGTGAAAATGTCATCGTGGGAAATTCTCCACTTTATGGAAAGAGAGTAAGTTTATGTAAAAAAAAAAAAGATAATAAATCACATCTGTGGCTAAATACAATGCCTTAATCCTGATTAATTGGCATCCTTATTCTCCTAATGCAACCTAAAGCTCTATTATATTTTATAATGGTTTTATTTTATGCACCAACACAAAGCTGAAGGTAATTGTGAAATGAAATAAAAAATTATTCATGGGTGAACGGCATTGAGTGCAGGAGTTTCGTCATGGTTTAAACACCTGTTCCTTATAAATTCAGTTAGTATGTGAAGGCCTTTTAAGCAAAAAGCCAAAACAAGAAAGAAAAGCAGCATCATGGTATGATGCTGATTTTCTTTCAGAGACTGACATGCTGCTCAGAGTTGATTAGAAAGTTTGAAACGGCAGTTTATTGTTTAACATAACTATGCGAATAAAACCCACACTAAACAGAATCAATTTGTCACGGCAACAAGACAAAACATGTAAAAATTGAAGGAATATGTATTCTTTAGCAAAAGGGGGGAAATCTTAAACCCTTCAAGCCGCTGTACCAATATGGATACACAACAGGTATAGAAAAGAAAAATCAAAATGGCAACAGATGCTAAAAACTAAATACAGGTAGATACGACAGAACGGCCACATCGCTCTAGTCATCTGGGCTATAAATGCACATTTCAGCAGGTGGGTAGAGTACCGCAAACATATACTCGACAAAGAATTATTTAAAAATATTGTCAAGTTAAAGTAAAGGCAGTCAATCAAGTAAGAATAAAAAATATTTCGTTAAAAGGCAGCTCAAGTACTGATCCTGAATCAATCTAACTTAATGTTTAGAAATCATGTAGACAAATGTTATGTGCAAGTTTTGGTATTGTATCTATTTTTGCAAAAACAAAGTCTATGCGAAAGAAACACTTAAGTCAATTTTTTTCTCAATATAAAAATGTATGAAACTAATCTTCACAGTGAAAATGGTAACATGTTAGGAAAAGGTAATACCTTCCACTGATTAGATTTAATGCAAAAACATTTGATCTTGGAGAAACTCAGATCAGCCAGTAAGTTTGCTAAGCAGGAGTAATGATGTTTTACAAGAATATAACTCAAGAAAAAGTAATAAGTATGAAGCATGTAATATAGCCCTATAAGTTATTTTGCTTTTATAATTTTACTCAAGTACATGTCACTAGTTACCAACTCTGCATTTCAGCAGATCTAAACACTATTTATAGGGTTTATACAGCAACGTGTAACTAATTCAATGCTTTTTAATGCTCTTAGAAATTTTTTAATGCCATCAACAAGTACCCATGAATATCATATATACACAGCAAAATCTTTTGTTATCTTTACGGTCGACAGGCTGCAGCCATGTCCTGAATTCGTTTTCCAGCCACTTTTGTTGAAATTTGTGTTTCCCAATTCTCTAGCTTTTTCTACGCCTTGTTAGGTTTATTATTTATACATCATGTGCATTGTTATTCTGTTAGCCAGATTAGACAGAGTAGAAGGCCTTCCTTCAAATGGTGGATGTCACTGTGTGTACGGAGGTCATCTAATCAGGACAGCCTTCATGTCTTTAAGAATACACAGGATATGGGCGCATCTTGGAGCCGGACTGTTGGAGGAGAGCTATCTGTAACCCTGAGGCATAGAAGCAAGCTGCATGGAGTTCAAGACATGGATGGCGTGTCAGTTTCTGATACGGACAGCTAAACATCAACATGATCCAACGCATAGACTCATGAGCTATAAGAAGGAGGAGATGACCTTCTTCGGGGCTCAAATC